TTTCTTTCCTTTTTAGTCCCTGTTCCATTTAGTCTCCGTCGGTGTATCCGTGGGTGTGTCTGTGCGTCTGTCTGGAGTCATATTTCGGAATCCATTGAACCGATTCTGTTCATTCTTTGCATTTGCCTAGTACTTTATGTGGGGCATATGCACATGCAGTGGTTTAGCGATTTGTTTCAAAATGGCCGACTGGCAGCCATCTTGTTTTTTTAAAATGCTGTATTTTGGGCATGCTTTGTCAGTTTTCATTCAAATTTGGTACATAGATTATACATGTTAGAATACATGTCCTATGACCGTCCGTGCATCCGTTTGTCCGTCTGCGGCAGCCATCTTGTTTTTTGAAAATGTTGTATTTTGGACATGCCTTGTCAGTTTTCATTAAAACTTGGTACATAGATTATACATATTAGGATATATGTCCTCCGACCATCCGTGAATCCGTCCGTCCATCTGCGACAGCCATCTTGTTTTTTGAAAATGTTGTATTTTGGACATGCCTTGTCAGTTTTCATTAAAACTTGGTACATAGATTATACATGTTAGGATACATGTCCTCTGACCGTCCGTGCATCTGTCCGTCTGTTTGTGGCAGCCATCTTGTTTTTTGAAAATGTTGTATTTTGGACATGCCTTGTCAGTTTTCATTCAAACTTGGTACATAGATTATACATGTTAGAATACATGTCCTTGCAATTGGATCAAAATTGCCGACCATGCAGGCATCTTGTTTTTTTCTTTAAATGTGGTATCTTGGACATGCTTTGCCAGTTTTTATTCAAATTTGGCATATACTTTATACAATGTACATGTTATGATACATGTCCATGACAATTTGTTTCAAATTCGGATCAAGGATGGCCGATTGACAGGCATCTGACTTTTTGGCCTTACTACTATATTTCCAAGATTTATGTACCATTTTGATTCGTATTTAGCACATAGATCATACACTTTGTTTCATAATCAGATCAAAGATGGCCAAATAACAACTGTTTTTATTTTTGGCCATATTACTATATCTCTGTCACCAATGTATCATTTTCATTGATATTTAGCATGTCATAGATGGATACATGTTCATGTCAATTCAATTTGCAATTTGATCAAATATGGCCGACTGGCGGCCATCTTGTTATTTTAAAATGTGATAACTTGGACATGCTTTCACTTGCGATCTATGTTTTTCGTTGCTATGTCTTAAACCAGAGGGGTCGTCACGCAACACGTGTTTGAATGAATTTGATGTAAATAAGCAATCTGTTGTGTACGCCACTTGGGACTCAAGTTTCAAGGACAAACTCGCAAAAACCCCTTCATTTCAATATGACGAGCACAAAGAGAAGTTTCAAAAATTTTACGGGGACTGTGTCATTTTCAATGACTTGTTTTATTTACTTTAATTTGATTTGATCTACATTATTCCGACACATTCTTTACGCATGAGTTCATAGAGTTCGCGTGTTCTTCCTATCCATACCCATCATTCGAACGCATCTCTGGCTGCATGGTCTTTGTCAGGCAGTGGGGGCGACACCGGGCAGAGGGGCTATCGAAATGAACTAGTCCAGCCAACTCTATGGACACTCAAAGCAAAGTGATCTGAGGACACCAAGTCAGGCCTAATATTGATAACAGATATAGCATTATACACCGAATATGTACTAATAAAATGATCCAGACAAGCGGTACTACCATGTGGATCAATATAAAAAGTGAAATTATGCTTTGCCGATAAAGTTGAAATCTTAAATTTATAAGTTATTTTCAATAGAAAAACGTTCATGTTCCAGACCCAACGATGCCTCACGGTCAAAGACTGTGGATGACATTAGGTGAGTGAAACTTTTGAATAATACAATAAGTTTACTTGATCAAGTAGGCAAATAGGAACAGACAATAATATATTTACTTTCCTCGGCGCGTACTTCAACCGCATTAGGTCTATTGTCATTTGAATATCTGGTTTCAACTATATTGGCCGTATATTACATAAAGTTTATTGCCACGCCACCTCCCAATACGAATGGCCTGTTCGCCGTTCATAGCAGTTACTCCACATGGAGACAAGTCGTTATGTATTTCTGATACCAATGAATTGTACTGAAACAATGTTTCTGAATTATAGCGATGACATTTGTGTCACACATAGCTCGAAAGACATTAATAGGTGATTTTGTACGCCTACAAGTATGTGCCCATTTTGATTGATATGTACATTGTTAACGATACTTGCGAATCAATACTCCATTTGGCCAAGAAGTAAGATTCAATAGTCGACATGAAATTTCCTGGTTTAGATTCAACTATAAATGATAAATTTGTAACAAACTTTTAAGTTGTTCACATATGTCCTCCAACTTAGTCGTCGGGAATAGCCTCGTTACAAATAATCTAAAGGAGGGTTGAGGCGAACCACCGTTCCTCAACGGTGAGCGAACTGATGTGCTTCAATAACATTCTAAACACTTGAAATTTTCCAAATTCTCGCGAAAGTCATGTTCATAAATAATAAATTAACGCTCGTCACAGAGGGATATGTGTTTGGTTTTGTCATTGTTAGTTTCAAAATCAAAATATATACCAACTCTGTACGCGGAAGATTGGTTATAACGCTAATCAACGTCATCAACCCCGTTTTAGTTGGATAGTTGGAAAAAATACTTCCTGAAACATCTCCGCCATGGTCAAACCGCACATTTTATACATACGAAGAAAGTCGTGGTTTTTAATTCAAAATACTGAACTGATTCACAGAAAACTGTTGAAACAAAATAGGTCTCTTTACATTTAAATCTGATTTTTTAGCGATAAATTGAGTCGCTACCTCAGATACCTGTTTTTGCAAACAAGGAGAGCCACTTTGACCCAGCTATAATTGGGATTGGGTAACACGTTAGGGATTCGAATCCAATTGGATTGAAACCCGGCCTCTTGTAATTGTTCCATGTATTAATATTGCTCTGCCATTCTTTGAACTCTGTTAGATCGATCAGCTTGACTTTAGGTATTTACGGTAATGGTTGGTCAGATCTGACGCATATCCTATTTTCAGCCACATAGGTAACATGAAAAATTTCCCTAATTTGCATAATCTTGGTCTTATCTCCTACTCTTCAAGCACGGACGGTACCGTTAGTACCTTACATGCTTCAAGGAAAATGCACTGTTCCCACTCCCAGTTTCGGACCCAGTCATTTCGTTTTTTTAGCTATATTTATTCTATCGGATTTGTTAGAATATCTGGCAAAATATCAACAATTTTCGAAGTCATTAATCTCTCATACTTGTAGTGTTTTTCTGGTTGAATGACTTGAGTTTAAATAATTACCAAGATGTAGTTAACCACTGCTATTGACGTGTGCTGTCTTCGATTTGTATATTTCACGAAGATGTCTGCATTTATTTATATTCAGAGAAAATATTTAGAAAATAAAATTACAATTTATATGAAATATTGCTCTATAAAAAATGTGTTTTAGTTGGTTTTAAGGTACAATGCTACTCACGAGGTCGATCTCCCTGCATGTAGGTTGTCTAACATGGTTTCAAAACAAGAAACAGACTATTTGTCACTGTTCTCTTGTAGTTGTTTTACATTGTGACTTAAATTCGTGTGCAACTGTTTTTTTTCCCAGAACAATCACGTTAGTAATGTCAGTCTCTCAGTGTCGAGGGACTGTGGCAATATGGGTCGTCCAAATCCAAATCCAAGTACGATGTACACGCCGCTGTGGTCAGTCGGCGAACACCTATTGTTTTTATGCAAATCAGCTTCCCGGCAAAACCCCTAATGGTGGCGACACACAGACAGACATTGGAGAATTTTAGCCCTTTTAGGGAATTATTCGAGCCGTATCAGCAAATTTGTTTCATTTTCTTAAAGAAGGTAAGTCGTAGAACTCGGAAGTTGGAAAATAAGAGCGTTCAATGAGTAGATAACGGACCTTGGCTTGAAAAAGACACACAGACGCGAACAGACATTTTGCTGCACATTCAAAGATGGCGGATGACCGAAGTGGATGTTGTTGTTTTGGCGGAGTCGTTTTCAGCCAGAAACGTAAATTTCGCTTGCGCGGCAATACGACAACGATATGTTTTCAATATATATGACACATGTGATCCACCAGGGCTTTAAATGAATACTTTAATTGCTTATTTAACTGATTTAGTGCAATAGTTCTGTTTCCCGTACTACCGGTTTTCTCGGCAGCGATAGTAATATTAACACTTTTGGAATCATGTACGAGCAGTACCGGGGCGGTGAAACTCATACTGTGTTTTTTGAGATTCGTTGAAGACGAAGACAAGACTGGCTTCGTGCCGCAATCGATACATCTATTTTTGTGCAAAGAAAAAAAATATTTTGTCTCCCGCGGTCACAATAATGATAATTTGATATTAAAAATTCACAATTTTTTTCACAAAAGAAAAAAAAAATGTTACGACAGTAAATGAAAAGTCCCAAATCTCGCTGTAAAGGGGCTAACAATTATGAGAATTGGCATGTAGTAGAGCTACATTGCATTCTTGAGGCGAACATCCTGGAATTTCTGGCAACCATCACAGTGAAAACAAAGGCTGAAAACTCTGCCCACAAGAATAGACCCACAACCACACGTCTCTAAAATATCTGTAAGCTACAGATTATAGATGAATACCAAACCTGAGAACTGAAGAACCATGTGATTTTATAATTCACTTGTCACAGTTTTGAATGTTGTTGTTCTGTTTTACCATAATGTACCCTCTGATGCTATTGTGTAATAAAGTTGTTTATTTATAAACATAACACATAAGTGGCATTCACGTTAGAGATCTCAGCACGTGCAAAGGCTTGGGACCGAAACTTGTGTGTGAACAGTCGGAATTGAGTCGACACGTGCCGAAAAAAACTTGATCTTGGTCCCGACGGTACCCAAAACTCAGCACGTTTCGAGATTTGCTGCCTGAACCTCGACACGGACCGAAATTACGCCCTCGGTGGTGAATTTAAGAGAACATACACTGATTCATACTTATGAAATGACGATGAAGAGAAATGCAGATATGGTCGGATGCTGTAGTAATGAATGCAAAAGTCGTCAGCGAGGCATATTTATATGCTACTGCAACCGCTAATTCCTTGCAATGCTACATTGACGTCAAAAAATAATTGTTTTTCGAATCTACTTTGCAGTTCATGGGCATGATGACTCGTAATAAATACCATAACAATAAATGGATATAATTTCAATATAGCAATTATTATTATCATCGTCTGCATATCGTTTTCCATGTTTGGGTCAAATAACAGATTGACAAATGAGGGCGTGATTTTGACACAAGCTGATTCGGTCCTAAGTGGGTCCCGACTAATGTGATTGCAACTGCTGTAATCCCTCTGCAAACACAAAGGATTAAACATTTCGGCACGTGCCGATATCCCGTAACATGAACTTAGTAATAGTAAACTAGCACAGTGTTTGTTGTATATGTTTAAACATGTGAAAAATAGTGTTAATTATAGTTGTGTCATTGAAATGCTATTTTTAATTGCACAAGATACTTTTGCAATTACATATGACGACTAAAAATCTGTTTGTCTACTGTGGCATTCTGAGTTAGTAATGTAATGTAATGCAACATACATCAGCTACTGCAGTATTATTGGTTTATTGAAACACTTAAAATTCCTCAGAAGAAATTAAAATGGTTACACTAACTGCTAAAACACATACATGTATATAAAACATACAAATTTTACAAGAATTACTGTCTAAAGCACAACAATGGTTTAAAAAATAAATCAACAGACTATATAAATCAACAGCTACTGCATTCGCTACATATACCTGTACACTAATTTGCAAGGCAGTACAAAGAGTACCCCATATAATTTAAAGGAAAATTTGAACAAGTGCTAATACATCTTTTTACAGAACTGCAAATTCTGTTGTTTACTGAAGTATAACAATAGTCTTTATGTACTAGATGCATAAACATTGTAGCCTCTGGTCGCGTTGTATAATTTCTAAATCTAGTGGCTCGTAAAGGTGGGGCAGCAGCACTTGTTAAATCCGGTAACCAGTGTAATACGGTAAAAAGAGTGTGTGCAGTCTTTAAATAACCAAAATAGATAGGGTGGAGGTCAAAGCCGAAAATATTTGCTTGTATTGTTTCATAATAAATGCTTTCTATTAATAATTGCACCTTAAAATATATATGATATATGGCTATATCAAAACCTGTGGTCAATCTGGGAAGGGTAATGCCACAGACCCACTGTAAACTGTGGGCCGGTGTGTTTTTGAAAGTGACAAATTTTGGCCAAGTATATGGATCTACATCTACATCTCTTTCACTTGGTGAGTGGATTTTCAGAACTTCATGTTCAATGGATCGTCTCACTACCAAAGTCTAGTTTCTCTCATCCTTTCATAACTCCTTTCACAACCAACATGTTAAATAATCCATATTTCACCAATTACTAGCTCTGGCCCGTAACTCTGGATTCGGCTATTGTGATGTAGTTTTTATCATATACCAATTAGAAATTTGTGCAGTTGCTTAGAGCTACTGGTGTTTAACTTATTTCAGTAAGTAATCATAGAATTTATCTGTTAGACAACATGCAATGCTTTTAACACAATTGGTCGCAGTTCTTTCGGTAATAGAACCAGCTAGATCACAAAATCTCCTGAATATGGTCAGGTACTAATTAACTTTATGTACTTTACCTTGAACTAGTTGGTTGGTATCAGTAAGGTGACTGATGTTTTACGAAGCAAGGTTTACAATGTGACAAACATATTCTGTACTTCCCAGATCAAAATAAATATTGAACAGTTTTCTCCTTGCTCTACAAGGTTGGGCAGTTTCAGGATACATATAATGACTGTTGTGTACAGTTCTTAGGAGCACCAGTTAGCACCAATCTGTAGATTGTATTTGGGGGATTGAAAGAATGACAACTTTATATTTATATAGCCATATGGCTTAAATAAAATGATATCAATCTTATTTCTTCTAGAGAGAATAAACAGGAACTGTTGCATCAATGGCAGAAACCGTGGGAGTGCAACACTATGACAACAGTGCAGCACAAATCATTGTAATAACAGCAAATGATAATGATTCAATTGTACAAGATAGTATTGTAGAAGAATGGAGCGATGTAGCAACAGAACAAATCATTGTGGAGACACCAATAGATGGTGACACAACTGAAGGTGAATATTTCCTAAATCACATTTATGGTTCAAAATGTACCGTATTTACTCTATTAGAAGCGCATCGACAGTAGAAACACATACATGTATAATCAAGCAATTGCATATAATCAATACACCTCTGTCATTAAGCATATGCACTACTAATAACGCAAATACAGTACAGAGGGTGGGGGTAATGTTGATTAAACGAGTGTTCAAGCAATGAATGAATGAATGATGAATGTATTTTAGTAAACACAGTAAAGTGAGTTTTTCTGTAAAAACAAAATGATGTTTTAACAGCAAATATAGCAGTATTCACTCAACAAATAAATGCTACTGGTACTAATTACATGACTTCAGTACAGGTAAGGTT